AATGGGCCTCTATACACCTTTGTAGATATTGCACCAAAAAACAGACATTTGCAGCTAGAATAGTAATTTACCACATTAGCAATGTATAGAGTGTATTTCTTTAAAGTTAAGACTAGTTTAAAGTTATCTTTATTGAAAAGTACAGGGCTTTTCATTAAAAAATAAGGGCATTTCAGTGTGACCCCAAACTTTTGAACGGTAGTGTATATTCAGTTAAACCACATCCCCTCCAAAAATCTTGAATAACAAGTTCTAATTCCAAGGAAAACTGGAATATAAAATTCAAAATCAGACATCATCTTTGATAAACAATAAACGTTTTATGTTTAAAATAAATCTCTTGTGCTGTCTTGGAAGATTTATCTTAGAAATCCTGTCAAAATGCCCGCAGACTCCCCCGGCTACAAATGTTGATTTATTGCTTTTGTTCCTTCGGTCTCAGACTATTCTATCCTTTCTGTCTCAGTTCCTGTTTAATTCTTGACTCAGCTTCATGGTTGCAGATGATTCCTGAACTCCACTTAAAGACGACTCATAAAGACATTGCTCTGCTCTCATAAACATCCTCCTCCTGGTCCACAGTTAAAAATACCTCGGCTCCCACTCACATTATTGACACAGTAACTCCATGCTGTGGAGCCTATGGTCTTCTGATCAAGTGGCTCTGATTTTATTGATTCACACTGAAAACAGTGGTTTTGAGCTCAGACGCTGTATGATGGTCCTCCTCTAAATGTTTGCATGCCTTTCTCCTTTGTTTTAAACCCATATGAAGATTTTCAGCTTCTTTAAAATGTTTCCTGTGTAATAAACGTGTTCTCTAAAGCTCTGCTTTGTGTTGTATTCTTTGTTCAATTCAATCATTCAATCTGCTCCCCTCTTGTTTCCAGAGATGTCCAAACATTATAACCAGAAGGCAAGCATTGAGCAGGAGCTCCCTACTGTCACACAGAAGCTCTCTACCACCACAGAGTGTCTCCTCGGATCTTTAGGCTCACTGACCAGCGTTACTGGCAAGGTACAGCCACCAGGGGGCAGGAGGCTGCCAGGCTTCTGTTCCAACCTCCCCTGCAGAGAAATGTGGCGGATTTGTTCTCTGTAATCCTTTTTTTTTTTTTTTTTTAAACCGTATTGCAATAGGATCATGGTTGTAGAATGAGACTAATGTTAACAAATAATATGAGGACTCAGCTGGGCAGTGGTTAGATTTTTGGAAGATAATGCCCAATTCACGGTTTGCACAGCTGCTCTCTAGTCCGAATAATGTGATAGATGATTTCTCTCCATGAATCAACTGGGTGGCAGCATCTGCTAACATGCCTGATTGTTGCTTCTGAAACCTTTAAGCAACCAAAGCTTGATTGCTGGAACATTTATTCTCTAAAATAATAGAGGATTCATCATTCTACTTATACTCAATAGGAAGGGTATCAGTTTTATGGAAGATCGAGATAAAAAAAATGGTGCTTCCAAGGTAAAATTTTGTATCGGTACTTTAGAAGTCTGGTAATTTGAATATGGAAAAGTTGGATAAATGGGAGCATTTAGTATTATTTGGTTGGAATAATGGGATTTTTCGTCTCCTAATTGTTTTTGACAGATCGCCACTTTCTTCAGCAACAATTTGGACTTCTTCACGTCTCCAGGCTACAGTCCGAGAGGCTGCACAGTGAGCCTTAACCCTCTACAAGCAGAGAGCATGCTGGCCAATAAGAAGAAAGCAGCTGCATATATCCATGCCATCAAAACGGTAATCAAATCTATTCTGTGTCTCTGGCGTCTTTTAAATGTTATTAACATTATCAATCCTTTTTATCTTTTTATTTTATTTCCTTATTGTTTGTTTTCTTTCAATATCCCTGGTTTAATTTCATCTTTGTTTTGTAGGTTGCTTTTATTGTATCGCATCTAAATTGATTTCATTTATAGTTTTAAAGTTTATAAAACATTTTTTTACAGTATTTTCTATAATCTTTACTGTCATGTTACTTTTCTCTCATGCATTAGTTGTTGCTTGTTTCTGCAGACCCGACCACAGTCGGTTCCATACAGGGAAGCCCTGTCAAACCGTCGCATTCTCACCAGCTCCACAGAGAGCAGAGAGGGTCTTACCCAGCAGGTAGGAGATAAAGAATTAGAGTTGCAACTCATCCTTTGTAAAATCATAAACCCTTTGTAGGCACAATTTAGTAAAAAAAAAGTCACCAAAGTTGCGGAGCAACTTCAGACTAGCTGGTTTCAAATGTAGTCAGTTTCCCAGCTGCTCTGGATTCAGGTTTAAAGGATATTTACACAGTCTTTTTTTTCTATGCTTTTCTGAACAAGAACAAAAGAAAACATGAAGTAGATATTATAAAAACAATGTTTACTTGTTTTATATGACATCGAATGGTAATTTAACCACAGAAATGCTTGATCTTTTAAAGTTTTCCTTTAAGGGCAGGATGCGACCAACTGAGAGCTCTGTCAGGCTCTATGTGCATTTTCCTTTTTAATCAGAAACGGTTTGGTGTCATTTCCTTATTCCCTCATAAACAATGGTGCCCTTTCACTTCTCCAAACCTCAGTTTAGCCCGTTTCCCACAAGCTCACGATCCTCTCTTCATCTCCTCCTCGTCATCCTCACGCAGGTGCAGCAGAGCCTGGAGAAAATCACCCGTCTGGAGCAGGAGAAGGAGCACTGGCTCCTGGAGGCCCAGCTGGGGAAGGTGCGGTTAGAAAAAGAGAACCAGCGTATAGCCGACCTGGAAGCACAGCTCGCAGCGGCCCTGGGAGGAAGTCCAAGCTCCCAGACAGCCGCAGACAGCCGACTCACACAGACTCACGAGGAAGCAGAGACGCCGCAGAAAGCTGCAGGGAAGGAGACGACTCTATGCACCAGCCTGGTACTGCCACTGTTCAAGCTGCTGTTTGTTATTGCTAGCAGGGGAAGCTTTGTGCCTGTGGCAGTATGCATGATTAGCTTCAACTAGCAGAGGATTATTATTAGTATTCTTTTCTTTTAGCTCCCACTCTGAGCTGGTGTTTGCTTAAAAAAAGCCTCCTGCTTCCGAACTGCTGATGTGGCAGAAAATATGTATTTTTTTTAAAATATGAGTCAGAACAAAGTTCACAGTGAAGTCACAAACACAACAGTTTATTTTTCCAAGTCTACTCTGGAATTAGGGGGTATTGTCAACCCTCTCATGCCCTTAGACAGGCCTGTCTGTGTGATGACGCTCCTTTTTCTCCTTTTCTGACACCAGGTTGGCATGTTGTGCACAACACCTACAAATGAGCATGTAAGTCAGAGCCTAATTAACCTACAGCTACAAATACAAACAGAATAGCTTATAACAGGCTCTCTGGGGGGAAAAGGCAGCTCTCATCTTGCTGGATGTTGTGTCTGTGTTGCAGGTGGGAGACGAAGACACTCGTGAACAGCTGATAAAGAGCCACTACATGGCGAGAGTGGGAGAGCTCACCACACAGCTCCAGATTTCGGACAGCAAAGCTGTGCACTTTCACTCAGAGGTGAATTTCTGAATTCATCATAACTGCATCTTTTACCCCATTAACTTTCACACTCGTTACTCTGCAACTGCAAACTTTAATGTTTTTTATTAAAGCTAAAGGGTTTCTGGAGTCTTTGCAAAATATCAGAAGCGTCTCACATTTGTATTCAATCCTCATTTATGTGCCCGAAAAATTTCCTAGCAAATGGCTCCCGCTGAGAATAAAGTAACACGGTAAACTGAGTTCACCTGTTAGTAATCCATTCTGAGTATGAATCCAGACCTCAGATGTTTTCCCTGAGGCTTTATATCCAATCTTATTTTGTTTTATCTATTAAGAAAAGAAGAATGAGCTCTAGATGTGCAAAACTAAGAGAAGCCCAAAGACTTCCAACCATTATCCCAGTTTATAGTGGCTCTTGGTGGAAATAAATATAAATACACTTCAATTTTTCAGTTTTTGACTCTTTTATCAAGACAAATACCGGTATTGTGATATTCAGAACATACAGGGTGTTTTTTTTCTGTCCTTTTGACCTTTTCTAACAGTCAGCTGCATCAATTTTCTTTTGAAATAAGCAATTAAATTAATCAAATCTATTACGTCTTGGACTTTGAATCTCATTTTTCCAATTTTTCATAACTTAGAGAAACATGCTTTTTATTTTTATTTGTGCTTTGAATCTGCCAGAACACAGTGGATGTTAATGGTTGTTGTTCCTGCCTCTAGTGTCGAGCTTTGGCAAAAAGATTAACCATAGCAGAGAAGGCACGGGAGACTCTGAGCGAGGAGGTCAAACTGGCTAATGAGAACATCACACGGCTGCAGGTAAAACAAAAAATCGTGTCTATAGTTGAGTCCAGATCAGTAGACGTGCCAAAGCTAACGGAGGCGTGCTTTTTGCAGGATGAGCTGACTACGACTAAAAGGAGCTACGAGGACCAGCTCAGCATGATGAGCGACCATTTATGCAGTATGAATGAGACCTTGAGCAAGCAGAGAGAGGAAATCGACACACTCAAACTGGGTAGCAAGGTAGTGCACCATGAAGGATTTTGGTTACAAACCGTTTAATGCCTGGATTGGGATCAGGTAGCAGAGAAATATGACTCAGTAAGGGTTCTGCCAGTTAGGAGGTGAACTAAGAGGTCATCTGTAGTTTGTGTGGCTCTGGGTTGATTTATATGGAGAAAGCACCTGCTAAGAGTCGTCTGAAAAAGTAATCAAGCTGAAGCCGAGAGTAAAATGGAGGCCTGCCTCTTAGCGCGCATGTTCTTGCTTGCATGCTTTTGTTGCTGGATGTCGGGAAGTCACAGGCCAAAACTTGTTGTGCTTGGAGCCAGCCATTTTCTCTAGAAATTCACCAGCTAGCCTCTGCATGTTGGAGAAGTCTAAAGAATCTCCAGAAAGAGAGCTTCAGCAAATTGCTGCACCTAAACAAAACATGAAGCTTCAGTTTTTATACCCATCCCATTTTCTGTCACAATAATCTCTAATCCCAAATAACTACATTCCCTTAATCTGCTCATTGTAAAAGTTTTTTATGTGCTTGTGGGAGAAAAACGCCAATTTAGAAGTTCATAAAACTTAATAAATAATTAATAAGCAATAAGTAGTTGGCATTAAACATTAGTAAATTTGTTCAACTCTATATTATAAACCTGTTATATTATTTAACAGAATGATTGAATTTAAAACCTTAGAAATGAAAGCAACAGTCATAGTATGCTGCTTCATATCATTACTGTCCTGCATGGTTTCTGCTAGAGTCACTGCTTGGCTAATCATACCTTTTGCATCAACTCCTCCCCTAAGCGCGTGGTACAGGGCGCTGTGGCGTTTGGACCTAGCAGAAAGCATTAAGGGCCAGGATCAAGCACCTGATTCAATCCAGATGCACTAAATGGTCGATCTAATGTTCAAAGGCATAGCTTTAAAGTTTGCTTCCAAGCCTTCCCTGTTTTTACTGATTTCTTATCCCAGTTAGTTATTGTTAAACATTAAAACTCATAGTTAGGCCCCAAACCCTCTCTGGCTCATGAAAGCCTGCAAAATTTGTGATGGATGAAACATTTCCTCTTTAAATGCTTTAATTTTTTTCGATTTTTCTCAGAGGTGGTTTTAAATATCATTTTAGTCGCTCATTGATCCAAGAGTTTTTGCCACAACCTTATTTACTTTTGAGCTGTTAGTATGGGGACAAAGATCTGCTGAAATAAAGCTTCTATTAATTATAAAAGTAGCAATAAAAAAAATATTTTTAGAGACCAGCGGGTTTCTGCTTGTGGCTGGCAAATATTTTGGCTTGTTATGCACTTGAAAGTTTCATTTATTTATTTTGTAAAGCTCTGAGTTATTTCTCCACAGCATGTTTTTTTTTTTCTTCAGTTGATTATTTTCATGTCCTGTCAGTAAAGAGTAAACACATACCACTATTAAGCACAAGAAACAGGCTTTTCACCATTAGGTGTCTGACCTTGCTCCTTTTTTTTCCATTTTTGGAGTTTAGTAAAGTGCAGAAAACATTTTTATTTATATATATATATATATATATATATATATATATATATATATATATATATATATATATATATAAATAAATCTGTGCTTAATTTAATCATCTGTGTTTCAAATTGCAAATATTTGGACTATTGAAACCAGATATGGATGAGTTTCTCCTGAATGTTTTAAAACATGATTTTGGATTAGGAATTTTTAATCCTGCTTCTGATTTCTAATTTTTTTCTTTCTTTTTTTTTTTTTAAAGGCCAATGCGAAAAAGAACAAGAGTCGTTAGAGCTGCCCTTAAATCTTCAACACGTTAGAAGGGCTTCTACGCTGCAGAGCCTCTTTGTACCAACAGCGTCTCCGACCTTCAGGATCACAGCGTGAGCCTCAAATCTCTGGCAGTTTCTAGGCTCGGATCTGTTTAATAAAAGCTCTGTTTTTAGGTTTTCCTGTCACATTACCTTTTAATGATTATGATTATCTAAAAATGGGTTGTCTGACCTTTTTGGTCAAAGCACTGTTAAAGAGGGGGGAACAAAACGGTAGAAGCAGTTGAAGTTTTAATGCTTGCTGAAGTGGAGACTTGAAGACCAAACCCTGTTAATGTGTGTAATTTTCTGACTGTGTGTGTGAGAGAGAGAATGAAACTGCACTCTTTGCTGCTTTTCTGAGTAGGTGAGCAGAGTAAATGTTGGTGTGGTCGTATGTTTGCAAAGTGTTGCCTCACCGTGACCATGACACCACGCTTTACAACATGAGAGTATTGTTTTACAAATAAATGGCTAAATCTTATATGGTTAGAGATTATATGTGCAGATGGTAACTGTAAACACTTGTAATAAATGGATAATGTGACAAGCTTTTAAAAATGATCAAATATCTAACAAAGATGCACTTAAATTTGTTTTCATTTCTTGATTTTCAGTCCCATGGGAATGGATTAAAGATTACAGACTTTCAGCACTGATCATCTCTGTTTACCTTTATGGAAAATGATGGATAAGATGAAGCTCTTAAAGATGTCTAGATTGTGTCTCTGTAACAATAGCGTTTTTTTTGTTTGTTTTTTTCATCACCAAAGGAAATATTGATGCATACTTAAAGCTTCTGACATTATCAAAGATGTAAGAATAAAAGGACTTCTTGTGAATTGATATAAAATCAGTTAAATGGTGGTGTTTCTTGAAATGTACACAAAAATATGCATTATTCAGAATCTATAAATCTTTATTTTACCCAGATTTTTATTTTGTACAGATTCTGAAGTTTTTTTTTATTTTATTTTTAACTTCAGTAGCTGTCTGTGTAAAAACAAATTAGATGATCTGTGAGTCATGACAGACCTTCTCTGTCCTGTAGTGATGGAAGATAAAAAAAAAAAGCTGCACTCTGATACAGAGTTGTTTATAAAAGACTGAATTTTCATCTCAATGACCTGCCAACACCCTTTAAACACACTGGGGAAAGAAAAATTCTGTAATTCACTATGTAGCCAGTTAAAAAGCACATATGTGAATCAAAATAAAGACCTTGCTCAAGACTGAAGTGAGTCAGATTTACCTGGTTATAAAGGATTGTTTAACCTGCCTGGCATCCATGTTCAAACCTCATTTCTGCTGGCTGGTGGAGACGGGGTTTGTGAGTGGTCTGTCATTTAAAACACAAAAACAGCCTTTAACACGCCCTAACCACTGGGAGCTGAGGCAGCACTGTTAACTGGATAAATAGGAGCAGGAGGGGAGCTGTTTTCAATGCTCATTTTTAAAACGTTAAAATAATTCAGACCTGGTGAATTAACTTTTTTGGGCAATCTCCTTACAACTGCGGTCAAAGTGAGAAACATACCAACTACTACATGTTTTCATAACTAATGGTGTGATAGGAAACTAGTGTGCCTAAAAAAATCTGCCTGTATTGACTTGTTGTTGAACTAGAACATCCTGGTGAATCAGATCAGGAGCTTATGGGGATTTAAACTTCTGGCAAACCAATCCAGCAACACATGGCAAATCTCTATAATCTTATCTGTTGAGAAAACCCAAAAAGTTTTTACAATAATATGTTTACAGCTTTGACATTGATCTTAAAAAGACCTATTATGAATGTATAATTAGGCTTTCTAAGATCTGCTCATTGTCGTACAGAAAAAAACATCCTTAAAGCTTTTTTGGACGTTGACATATAGATTAAATCCACCTTTTAATTGGGATTTTGAAAAGGTAACTCATTGTCGAACAGTTTACTACAACTCAGAATTAAACATGCATCGATATTCAGTCTCCTTCAGTCGTTACAGTCAATAGTAATTTCAAGTCTTTCCATTTTTTTTTTTTTAAACTGCAGGTTTGAATTCTGGCAGAACCACATAAATATGCTTTTATCTAAGCTCTGGGTGTATGTTTAGGATTTTGGTTCTGCTGGTTGGCGAGTTTCCACCCAAACCGATGTCTTTTGCCTTATTTTTAGCTCTATTCATCTTCTTGTCAAATATCAGCTTTCTTGTCGCTGCTAAAGTAAGGCATCCGCATCATGTGGTTACATCCATAACGTTTGTTATTTTCCAGCAAAGCTCAAGTTTTTTGTGTCGGTCAAAGGATTTAGCTTCAGATCTGATGAAGGCAATTGGTTGCGCAAGATTTTTATTTGTGTGTGTTGGAGTAAAAGGGGAGTGGGTACACCACTATTGCTCTGTTTATTTCAAAGAAAAAGGGAAAAGCATTTGAATATTTGGTCTTTATAGTTATTTGCTATTTTAGCTTGGCACAGGATTGGGTGTTTACCAGAAACTTTTTTTTAGTTTTTGGCCTTGTAAATGAAGAAAAGGCATTTTTCTGTCATTTCACAGAGAAAGTTTACTTTAAAATCAGACTTCTTTGTTCACAAGCATTAGTTATAGCTGTTACTGTACATCAAAACCAATGTAGTATGTAGAAAACAGTTCTTAAGACTTATTTCACAGAAAATCCATAAAACACATTTATGTATCCACTATTGCAATTTGGTTTCAAACCATGGAGCAACGACGCAACAATAGGCCCATAAGCAACATTATCTGGTTGGGTCCCATATGGAGCACAACAGCCCTTCTCTGGAATCCGCTTAAGTACCTCTTTGATGCAGCAACATGTACGTTGCTGCATCAAAGCGCCATAACCGTAACGGTTATGGCGCTCTGGATTACCCATAATTCCAAGCGTAGTGTAAAAAAATAAAATACTCAAAAACATCGTCCTTTTAAGATCTTTATTTCGGTTTGAAGCATATATGACTGTATTTTTTTTTTTTTTTTAACCAACCGTCTAATGAACTATACACAGTTAACATAGTAATTAAAAGTACCACTGTCTGCTTTAGTGTTTAAAATCACCATCATGTTGAAATCTGCCATGTGTTGTGGTATAAATACGGTCCAGTACGGCATTTGAAATTGAAGAGAAATAATATGAATTTTGGGCACCGCTATGTCTGCTTACATACGTCCTAATTCACACTGTGTAAGTGGCCCCGCAGAGGCCGGGGCCCCTAAGCAACCACAGTCTCTTCTTACCGATAGTTACGCCATTGAAAGTTTTAGTTTTGTTAATTTAATACAAACAATATAGATATGGAAATGCTTTTTATTCTGTCTACATTAGTATGTTACAACGAGGGTTATGTTTTGTTATTTTTGTTTTCATTTTCGGCCCTTTAAATAAATGCAGCGATAAACGCGGCAAGCCGCGCTTCACGCTGGTTGCATCCCAAATGTCCGACGGCATTGAAGGCACCACCGCTCTGTCCCGTTGGAGGATCTGTAATACGGGAGGGGAATCGCTACACTGTGAAAACTCCCAGGGTTTACTCTCTGCCATTTTGAGAGAAACCCTGCAGACAGCGGAGTTCAGACGTGTCCATCAAGCGGCGGTCATGACCTGATTTAAAGCATCTCGGTTCCCCAGGACTTTGTAAGTATCTCAAAATTCCTCTTGCAACAAGCGACGTTTTGCAACAGTTAAGGATACTTCAAAAAAACTGGGACGCGGAAACATTTGCGTAGACGCTCGTAACCGCGGTGTTGTGTCAGTTTTGAATCTGCACCGTCTGAGTGTAGCACGCAGTGGTACAGCTTTAAAAGTTTGTAACAACAACCACAACTCTTGAGTCTTGTTTACCCGAACAGGGCCCCCGTGTCCAGGGAAAAGGGGCCTCTGTTTTTGATGACATCCTCGGGCTGTTATGATTGTTTTTGTGCTGCTCTTGAAGAAACTAAACCCAATTTTCTCCGGTATCGTGTGTGTTTTGCTGTGATTTGCAGATCTTTTTTGTTTTTCATAATGGTTTGAATGATCAACATTCAATGACGCGAAAGAAAATCAAAACACAGCTGATTTGTGAGCGATATCTCCGGGGAACGATGAGGCTTTTGTTCAGCCGGAAACTTTCAGAAAACAAACGAAAAGAGAAACTTTTAACTCTTTGTCTCAAAAGCTAAATTCATGTTGACACAAAACACAAAAACAGAAGATAGTCTTTTTCTAGGTGTGTGTTTTTTTGTTTGTTTGTTTATTTTTTATTTGTAGTTTCAAAATAACGTGGATATTTTTGGAGCGTCATCAAAAAAGGACCTATGGTCTGGCTGTTGACTCCCTGCTAGAGCTACGGCCATAGTCGTGTTTTTTCCTTTGTTTTTTCCTTTTGTTTTTTCAATTGGTTTAGCATCCTTGTAAAGCTTATTTAGTATGAAAAGTTTTTTATTTTATTATTATTTTAGGTTGGGGTTTCTGCTAATAAGTATCGTGATATTTTATAATTGAAGGGTCCTAGGTTCTGTGCCAGTAGCTCATTGGTTGCTTAGAAAGATTTCAAGGTTATATTATCAAGCTCTGTTGGTTTGTTTTATTTTATCTTATGTTTAACACATTCCTTACACTATTTTGGCTATGTTTGCCAGTAAAAAAAGCACTTTTGTATGTTTACCATGACAAGACAACATGATCGGAGGTATGATACCTTTTGTGTGAAGCAGTAGTAAGAAGAAAGAGGGAATACCATTACATTCGAAAGCGATATGCTACTAATGCCTGGTACCTGGGAAACATCCTGATTACTCAATGGTGCCAATTCTCTATACCATGTTAAGATCATCCTAAAGACTAGGCTTATTTACTTTTAGACGATGAAGATGATTATCTGGCTCTCACACTCCTGCCATCACCAAATGTTTTTAATAATTTCTTCTTCCAAGTTGCCGATTGCCAAGGACAAGTTTCTAATGGATGCGGGCGTGCAATGCTGTCAGAAATTGTGCACAGTGGGGAGACTGGTGAGCAGAGAAGATCATTGGGGCTCCTCTTCCCTCCATAAAAGACATTTCATCCCAGCGCTGCATATTCCAAACCCGTAACATCATCAATGACCCCTCACACCCCCACCATGGACTGTTCTCCCTGCTTCCCTCTGGGAAGAGGCTTCGCAGCATTCGATGCACATACAGCAGATTCAGAAACAGCTTCTTCTCCACCGCCATCAGACAGCTGATCTGTTGAGAAAACTCTAAATCATGTCACAGACTCTGCATCACACTGATAACACCAAACCAAAACACTGCATAATTGAATCATATATATATTTAATACTTTGGACTTTCATATCAATGCGGTTTTTTGCACCATGTTTTTTCTGTTTACATTTGAGAACTGTTGCACTTTAGGAAATGGAAATGTGATGAAAGGTGTCCAAAACGAAATTTTGTTTTGTATACACTCTGTGTATACAAAATCACAATAAAAGTTGTCTAAGTCTAATTAATACTAGTCTCAATTTAAAAAAGAGATGCAGAACAAATCAAAGAAAATATTAACAATGGATCTTAAATGGAGAGAGTGGTAGTGCATACACCCGACTGGATCTTAAGGCATGGCTGCTGATTGCACTAACGAATTGGTGAACACTTGCATGTATCAACCGATACTTGCCAAAACAAACGCTATTGGCCTAAGAAATCTTCCAGCTGATGTATCGGTCTATCTCTATTAGACCTGGGCAAACAATTGCATTTGTAATATAATTGCTATTTAACAAAACACAATTTTCAAATTGCAGAGGCATTCAATTTTAGTTACATAACATTTGAGAGAATAAAACAATAATTTTCTCACTCCAGCTTTGTAGGGGGTGTTAATGTGATTAAAGTGGGTTTAGGGCCACAAAAAAGGGAAGAAAAGGCAGCAGCTAGCACACAGATCAATGAATCCGAGAAGGAGGATACCGTAAAGTCCTGCCACAATGGACTCTGGACAATAAAGCTTAAAAAAACTGAAACATCAGAGTGAAACATACGTACTTGCGGTTAATGCAAAGAAAAACTGAAATAAAATTGCAATATTGGTTGAAAGTAACCACCTTCTACTCCATCTGTGTCACAATGATGTGTTTAAGTACTGAAACATATCACTGCTTTATTTGCAAATAAGTATTCGTAGTACCAGCATAACTCAGCCAGTACCAAATTTGGTACTCATTCCTAGATTTAAGTTAATCTGAGAGAATCCACCATGTAATGTGTCCATTATTTGCTACTGTTAAACTTCCCAGTTTCTTATTAAAGCTGATGGCAGAAAGAGCACAACATTGTCTATGTTTGCTGATCGTGCCCCATACCCACATTTAAAGACAATTTTATGGTAGTGTGTTTTTTTTTCCCCCTATAGCCATATATATAGCTAGGCCCCTTTAAACCAGCTTAGTTCATAAAGTAGCCTCTTTATGAAGGACCATAACCCACAGACCATTTTCCTTTAACGCAGAGTAATGTTCTGTTACTTCCACAAGCGACAAGAGCAACTCCAAGTTTAACTTTATACTTTAAAATATATCCTAACGGTTATGGCACACCCTTATGTTTATTTTAAGGCTCAATGATTTCTGCTTTGATGTACAAAGACAATATAAATCTATTTTAGCATGTCTCTTTGTTTTTTCTTCTGTTGGCGATAGTGCTGCCTTTAGAAACTGGTCGTCTCATTTTCAGCCACAGCATTGGATGATGCTGTCATTGTACTTCACAGCAGAAATCATTGGACCTTAAATTAAACGTGAGGGTGTGCCATTTCCATCATTTTAAAACCATCCCAGGAAAACCGCAGACTAAATCGATAGTTTGGCTGAGCAGGAAACGTGGGGCAGATCCAGAGGATCCAACAGGAAGCTGCACCGTGTCATCAGGAAGCATCTGCTTGCTCATCTCTTTTATTTATTTATTTCTTCTATTGTAAGCTCAGCAGTTTTTCTCTGAAGCTGTTTTAGCTCGGTCATTGTTAGTGGCTCAAAGACTATAAACAGAAGTTTCGGTTTCAGCTCTTTTCCTCCTGAGTGGACAGCTTCCCTGTGAAAACATTGATATGTTTTATTTTTTCTTGTTATTCAGTATCACGTGCATTTTAGTCATAGAATTTCCAAGTCAAGACAGGACAGTTGTAACAAAAACAAGAGGTTATGATGACAATAAAAAAATGAACATTCCTTTATCGGTTCTAGTATCATAATGTCGGAATGCTAACCTACGGTGCATTTCTTTCTCTGTGTCTTTTTAAGTTTTCCTCTGATTTATAAGCAGACAAATTTAGAATATTTGCTCCTAATTAAAAATGTGATAAAGTAACATTACAATAATATTTGTTGTAAAGTCACAAAAGTAGAGCAGGCGGGTATTTCCTGTGTGCGAAGCCTCTGGTCCCAAAGGAATGCGAGGAATGTGTTCTTTTGTCCTCCGTAGATTTAGCAGCATCTCATTTCTGCGGCGCCTGCGAGAGAACCCAGGAAGAGAGAACTGGAAATAACCCTGTCAGTGATCCTCCTCTAAACCCCCCCTCCTCTGAAAGAACACATCCTTCTCTTTAAATCAAAGCTGACTGCATCTATAAGTCAGCGAGGACAGGTGAGCTTGTGGAAGTCTGCGCCTGATTTACAAACATCCTCCCATTAGGAAGATGTTCCTCTGCTGTTTGACTGAGCGGCTGTCACTCCACTATTCCCGAATTGGACCCCCTCTCCGCCAAGTCCCGTGTTTATTAATACCACGGGGAACTTTCCGTTGGATGTCTCCTTCTTACAAGTGGTGGCTGTGATCTTGGAGGGAGGAGGGGAGCTGTAATTGAGGCTTTCAGCTCGTTTCTTTATTGGGAGATGGAGCTTCAGCAGTTTGTAAGTGACTTCTCTCTGTGTCCTTTGAGCTTGATGCTTCTGAGAGCAGAGCTGCCAGCAGATCAAAGGGCAGACCATGATTGATTTGCAGGAAAATTAACTGCAATGCTGTGTGAGGATTGCAGCATGTGTGCTCTGTATCTGCTGTAAAATTAATTATTTTTTGGATATATGTCCCACAACTATGACATTCATCCTTCAGCGATGGCAGGCACATTAAGCAGGCGTTATTATGTTTTTGAAGGTTCTTGCTTCACCAGCTGCTGTGTCACGTCGCGGCCCAATCTCACTGCTGACTTCATGCTGTTTAATGAGGCTGAAGCTTTTTACTGCAATGACCAACTTCTCTCTAAATGCATCTTGGAGCAAGTTCACCATAAAATATTTAGACTGTCCTATTTTTTTAATCAGATCCCAGTAAGCTGCAAGTGCACAATTTACTGTGCTTTTAAACTTTTTTAAACCTTATCCTGCCTGAATTTTAGTCTGTTTGAAAATATAATTATTGCTTATTAAAAATAGCTAACTGCTATTTTAAAACATTAGGAAGGATCTGAGGTGTCAAGCTAGATGTTCCTCTAGTTTAAAACCCCAGTGGATTGAATGGTTCATTATCAGGCCTCTACAGAACCTAAGGACATACTGATTAAGAAATTAATTCAGCCCTATTGGAGCAGAGAGGCAAACATAAATGAAAGGGTTTAGATCAAAGTTGATTTATGTGTTAGAATGGCTCAGTCAGCGTATGGAGCTCAATCAAATTGAGAAACTTTTAAAGATTTTATAGTAAAGCTGTTCGCTGATGCTCTCTATCTAATCTGAGGTTGAGCTATTTTGAAAAAACAATAGGTAGTATTTTTTCTTTCTAGATGTGCAAAGCTGTCAGAGCCAAACTCCTAAAGATTTGCAGCTTAAATTGAAGAAAAGGTGCCGTCACTAAGCACCGACTTGGGAGTTAATTCATACCTTTCAGATTTTCTTATGGGAAATATTTAAGAAAATATTCTAGTTCCACTACACTGTCCTGGTCTGTAAAATCCCAGTAAAGTATACTGAAGTTTGTTTAAAACGTCAGGCAGTATGATCTCTATACCGAGGTTCTGTAACTGAAGATGTAAAAAAAAAAAAAAGATCAATTGTACTACAGATGTACGTAAATCAAAGAATGTAGCTTTAAGGCAGAAATCAGTTTAAACTCCTGGGACGCTTTAGCCTCTTATCTTGAAGACTGAAAGATAATCCTTCTATTAAATAAATGCAGTTAGAAGGATATGTTTTTATTTTAAGAATTCACTCTTAACAATTATGCTTAATTTCCTCTGTTATATAATTTTGCTTTTATAGCTGAAGGACTTTTTAAATCAACTCTTTAGTAGCTCAAATCCTAATCAGTTTCTTATTCCTGTTTTTGTTTTCTTCAGCAGATGGACACTGACTTTGACTTTGAGGACCTTTGATCCAGGACCGTTTTTCTTTGGTCCCTCCAGCCATGTGCTCCACCAACCATTCCAACTGGGTCACCTTTGACGATGACGTCACACCAGTCTCCTCGCCTCAGAAGACCCTGCAGTCACCCGATCTTATCAAAGCGTCAGTTCCACGTCCCAACGGCCTGAAGTTGGTGCTTCCTCCAATCAAAGATACTTCCTGGAGCTTCAGTAGCCCCCTGGAATCTCCTCAAAGCCTGTCAGGTTCCTGTGGAAAGTCTTCTCGACCCTCTAACAGCACCCTGAGTCCTGTGACCAGAGTCTCCACCAGCACAACTCCATTTCAGTCCCCATCATGGGAAAATAATGTCTTCCTCCGGAGTTTCTCCAGCCCATCAGGGATCTCTGTGTCCTCTGCAGCAGAGACCACGAGTGAAACTACAGATGGACCAAGCCCTTTCCCTGCTTTCAAGGGGACATCTGGACACTTTAACCCTTTCTGGGAAGATTGCAGACAGAGCGCTGACGTTGGCAGCTCCTCCTCAGACTCGGACACAGACAACAGCCTGCCGCGATTCTTTATTCGGACCAAAGATGGCAGCACGCCTCCGCGCGACCAACCCCACAACCCCTTCTCCTTTGTTTGTAATAAGCTGGAAGACCTTCAAGTTGGACAAGAGAACAATACGGACACGCCAGAGAGCCAAGACAAGTGGATACATGACAGAAACGAGGTAATAAGCGACAGTTCGGCTCAGTTTGTTCCCAGGGGTCTATTCCGCAGCCAGAAGAGGGACGGCTGGCCCGTCATGATCAGGATTCCCGAAAAGAAGAACCGCATGTCCTCCCGGCAATGGGGACCGATCTATCTTCGCCTGTTGCCAGGAGGTGTGCTGCAGATGTTCTATGAAAAAGGCCTTGAGAAGCCGTACAAAGAGTTTCAGCTTCTCCCTCAGTGCAGGCTGTCGGAGCTTAAAGTGGAAAGCTACAGCGAGCCCAGGAAAGTCCTCACCGTCAAGCTGGAACTCTTCTCCTACACGGAGAAGAAGCGCTTCCACCCAAAGCTAGAGGTTAGTCATGAAGCGGAGGTCGAGCAGCTGCTCAAGTTTGGCTCCACCGTGCATGAGGACATGGAGGACATGGTTGTCTCCATTGAGGAAGAGATCTTCAAGCTGTGTGTGCCCCACCAGCAGAGGCGACAATACGAGGAGCAGGAGATGTCGCTGCAGGTCACTGATCACATCTGGATACAACTGGATAAGTCAGGGACAGTCATGGAGAGAGAAGCTTTTACCCAGATCCACTGTCTTGCTTTCCTAAATGCACAAGGAGAATGTTTTCTTGCCTTGAATGATCTTGGTTTGCTGCATTCTAACTCCAGCTATGGGTACGAGGAGGACAGCGACCTCTGGATGGAGATCACTGACAGGCATTTTCACAAATGTGTGAACGAGACTGAGTTTCAGGCGTCCAGACTCATTAAATTCTCCCCTCCTGATGCATGCAGGGTGGAGCTGATGCGGTACAAAACGGCAGTCCTGGGCTGCACTGAAATTCCCTTTTCAATCAAAGCTGTTGTCACGGTCCAAGGAGCCTACGTGGAGCTCCAAGCTTTCCTCAACATGTCGGCCACCTTCCTCTCCTCCCTCAGGGCTTCCGACACCTCTTACCCACTGTGTGAAAACATAGTGATTCGCATTCCAGTTCCAGGCAATTGGGTCAAGGTGACGCAGACTGTGGCCTTGTTGCGGCAAAGGTCGCTGAAGGCCCGAATGAACAGGAACGCCTGCCTGGGCTCTGCCAGAACCCAAAATTCCCAGCCAGTCATGCAGGTGTCCATCGGATCTGTCAAGTATGAGACCGTCTATTCATCCATTGTGTGGAGGATTGATAGGCTACCCGCCAAGAACACAGGTAACACTTCAGAGACGTTAACTAAAATAACGGCACTTATCACAGCTTGTAGCATCCTCTGGTGTTTTATATTTTCCTACCAAGCAGCCAGAGTAATAAGTCTCTGTATGAGATTCTCATAATGTAGATTAGAAAATGCATCTTGAATACAAACAATGGCTGCTGCATGGATATAAAATCCATTAACATCACCATACAAATATACAGCAGTGAATTAAATTAGAACACAATACAATAGCAAACCAAATTTGACTTTAGGTTATCAAATACTAACTGGAAAATTGCAGAGAAATTCCAGATAAAATTGCAGTCTATGATGAGAAATAAATGAAACGGCTAAAATGACACACTTGTATCACATGTGGAGCTGATTGATTCATGGTATTAATCATGAATCATTGAAATAATTGTGAACTAAATTAGTAATTGAGTCATTACCTATAGTAATGGTACATTTAAACATGATATATGCTGAAAGACTACTTACAGCACTAATTAAGACAAAACTTAAAATCGATTTAAAATACATGAAAGATGTTTCTCTCTGAATTTCAAACATGTTTATTTAAAAAGGTTATTCAGTAAACTAAGATAACCCCAATTAGATGAATCTATTAATCAAACAAATAATAGCCAGAATGATCAATTACTAAAATAATGGAAAGCTGCAGCTTTTATCCGGATCTATGAAGAAGGTTTTCCCCATTTTTAAAATTCTGGCATTTAGTTTGTTGTGTTAATGACTAAAAGTGAAGCTAAATGCATAGAAGAAATCAACGCATTGATGGGCCAAAAATTTCTTCTGCTGAATGAAGAAAAAACTGAAGTAATGGTTTTTCGACTGAAGGAAGAGTGTTTTTAAGTTAGTCCACAGTGAAGTCTGTTTCTGATTGTTTGGTCAGAGACATTCACACCAGTGGCCTGCTGGAGGTCATTTTGTAAGGCTCTGGCAGTGCTCCTCCTGCTGCTCCTTGCACAAAGGAGCAGATACTGGTCCTGCTGATGGGTTGTAGACCTTCTACGACCCTGTCCAGCTCTCCTGGAGGAACTCCCTGTCTCCTGGAATCTCCTCCATGCTCTTGAGATTGAGCTGGGACACACAGTAAACCTTCTGGCAATGGCACATATTGATGTGCCATCCTGGAGGAGTTGGACTGCCTGTGCAACCTCTGTAGGGTCCAGGTAGCGCCTCATGCTAACATTAGCGACAGTGACCCTAGCCAAATGCAAAACTGGAAAAGAGTCAGAAAAGATGAGGAGGGGAAAAAATGTCAGTGGCCTCCACATGTAAAACCATTCCTGTTTTGATGGTCGTCTCCTTATTGCCTCTCTAGTGCACCTGTTGCTAATTTCATTAACACCAAAGCAGCTGAAACTGATTAACAACACCCTCTGCTACTTACCTAACCAAATCAATATCCCAGATGTTTACTTAACTTGATGATATACTCTGATTACAAAGTGTTCCTTTCATTTTTTTGAGTAGGGTAGAATAGAAAATTCTTTAATTTTTCTCACAACTGGGAAATGTCGGTGCAACAGCAGTAAACGGACAGGGATTTAAAGAAAATTCACACACACAAAAAACACAAAAAATCCAGGATAAAATATTGTTCAATAAGAGCAAAAATGGTTAACATAAATACTGTGTAGATATTGATAAATATACTGAATGTCCACTGGTGATGGTTAATTTAAAAAGCACATTTTTCAATAAGTGAAAGTTAAAGCAGCAAGAGCAGAGCAGTGCAAAGTACAACAGAGATCAAGTCAAAAAACAAACAAACTGTGCAAATAGCAGCATGAATGTAAACACTTATGGAGCATGTTTGGAGAAGCGATGGTTATAAAACAGCTGCTGGTAGGAAGGATCTGTGACAACACTCTTATTTAGGATGCAACGGTCCATCACTAAAAGAGCTCTCCAGCTCAACAACAGCTTCGCACATGGAGTGGGAGACATTTCGAAACAGGGATTTTATTTTAGCTGGAGTCCTTCTGTCTTCCTCCACATGCACCAGATCGAGGGGGGAATTACATGCGTCTTTAAGGGGTGTGATCCAGAATGCTGCTGCCTGCGTCCTTACCAAAACTAGCAGAGTGGAGCACATCGTCTCAGTTCTTAAATCATTACTCTGACTCTCCGTCTGTCAGGGAACAGGCTTTAAAACACTTCTGTTAGTCTATGAATCACTGAACGGCTTAGCTCTAAATTACATCCCAGACTTGCTGGCAGTATAACAACCACCCAGACCTCTCATGGCTTCTGGCTCATGTCTACTCTGTCTACCCAGAACCAAAAACAAACACTGAGAAGCTGCTTTTAGCTTTTATGCTTCACAAACCGGAGCAAAGTGCAGAAATCTTAAATTTTTATTTTTTTTTTCATCTTAAATGCAAAATGTTTATATAATTTTTTTTTACAATTTTGCTATAATTACTGCTCTTAGTGGGTTGCTCTGGCAGATAAAGCCAGGTTTTACAGTCTCTATACTACAGTTAACGATTAACGGTTTACTGAATGGTTGACGATTATTTCATTAATCGATTAATCATGATTAATCTGATTAATTGTTTGGCTTTTGACTCAATCTAAACATTAGTACTTAAGTTTCCAGTCCCACTTTATTTTACTCTCAGTATTTTTTTTTGTTTACAATGTTTTCTGTTTACAACTTTAATCATGTTGTTTTTATGTATTGAAATTGTTCAAAAAGATGAATCATTTATTGACCTTTATGTCACTGCAATGTGCGATTCTCCGTCCTTTTTCCTATTGTGTTTAGTCATATACAGCACTTTGAAATGTGTAATATAAATAAACCTGCCGTGCCTTGAACACCAGGGTACGATCCAAAGAGGTGAGTTCAGAAAGAACACTACAGCAGGTTACAACTCTGCTCTCAAGTGAATTAATCAGCAATATACAATAGACTAGAAGTGGAGGACAACTGCTAACATGCCCAGGTCTGGCTCTCAACACATTTTTTTCTTCTGAATATTCTTGCTGCTGCTGATATGAAAGTGCATTCCTGTCAAATCGGGAAGAGACAACTCAAGTTTGCTCAAGTTTAAAATGGTGAAAAGAGAAAGACTTTTCTGTTTAAGAAGATCACAAATCTAAAGTTTTTTTAAAGAGAACAGAGGAATGTGAGCATTTATTTAGATGGAACTGAATACTGAGAGAGGCCACCCTTAACCTTTTACGATATTACATTTATTTATGGATGATTTTTATGTTATTTATGGAAAAATATGGAATGATTCCCACAAATCCATTCCAATATCTGTTTGAATGTCTGAGCACCTCTTGACTGACAAAAGGAGATTGATTTGAGGACTAAGGCTCTGCGAGTTCTGGATACGAGTCCATCTACCAGTAGCTGGTTTGTGGATCTCACAGCTCCAACTAGCGTTTGATGGTGTAAATGTTCAGACCAATGAGTTGGCGCCGTAATGTTTGAAGTCTTAACATCAGCCAATAAAACGTTAAACTGCTGACCTAAGTGGACAGGATGCCAGAAGAAGAGTCGCTTTTAACCTCCCCACCACAAAAGGTAAACGGCTGTATTTTAAGCAGTTTGTAGACGCCACCATTCAGAGGCTGTGATACTGAGAAATGTAGTAATCAAATATCATATGATTAAGCTATAAAATATGGTTTCAAATTATTTCAATGGAATCCTTAAAGAATGTTTGGAAAGTCATGCTTAAGGAAACTTATAAAGTTATTTAATTTACTTAACTGGCTTCTCGGAAAAACATTTTATTAAAAGAAACAAAAACCATTTTTACATATAATAAAAAAACACTAATTATTTAACACTGTAAAAAGAAGAAAAACAGGAGACAGAAATATTCTAGAAATAAAATTGGCTCATAAACATATGAGGATGATTTTATGCTTGATCGGCCAAGATCATTTTATTTATCATCTTAAAATCGGATTTCCTTTCCTTTTTCCCTCTACTCTGATGATAAATGAATTGATCATCTACCACACATAATACCATAATAATCCAAACATTTGGTTTTTAAATAGTGCTGATTTTAACTCAAAATGTTATCAGTTGTTGAGCATCTTGTGATACAATGCACTTAAATCTAAACTAAACTAAAAATCCTTCCTTCCTTCCTTCCTTCCTTCCTTCCTTCCTTCCTTCCTTCCTTCCTTCCTTCCTTCCTTCCTTCCTTCCTTCCTTCCTTCCTTCCTTCCTTCCTTCCTTCCTTCCTTCCTTCCTTCCTTCTACACTGATATTTAGACTTGCTGTTTGAATAATATTCATAGAAATTTATATTTCTTTTAGTGAGTTTGTGTAGTTTCAGTTGTATTGCCTTTCTATGCTCCTTTAGGCCGCTACATACTCCACGCATGCATTTTTGATGAACACCCCAGTAGTTTTGGAGCCTGTTGCATTGCATATTTTGCCGTTGGTGTACTGCGTTGTTAACTAAAAAAGCACATTGATGTTTTTTTGTTCTCTTTTGCAGCAGTGGATCATCCCCATTCATTCTCCTGTAAACTAGAGCTGGGATCTGATCAGGAGATCCCCAGTGACTGGTACCCTTTTGTCTCCATGGAATGTGAAATCATGGGCGCGGTCGTGTCACAGACGAGGGTCAAGTCCCTCGGTACGATCAACGACGTTCAGCCGCAGAAACACGTGACCAGCTGGACTCGCTACCACTGTCAGGTTAGAAAGGTCCTCCATAAACTTCAGTGCATGCAGCAAACTGAATGTACGACAGATTTAAATCTGACTCACTCCAGTTAAAATGCCAGGTTCAACTTCAAAAAAACACAAACCTTTTCAAATAATGGAGTTCCATTTGCCTGCATACCTTTGAACTAATGGTTTGTTTAAGCAGCTTTGATGACAGCACTCTGCCCTTTTTGGATGGACTTTGTAAGCAGATATATTTGCTCTCTTTCTTTCTCATTAACACTGAAATACTTTTAGATAGGGACATCTCCTTTGTACAGCTGTCCTTACATTTTTAATCAGATTGAGGTCTCACTGGTTAGCCAACATCAAAACTGCTCAAAACTCCCTCAATTACACATTTTAATTCTAACCATATTCATTAACCTGAAAAGTACGCAATTATAGAGTGAATGTATGAATAGCCATACATTCAAAATTGGATGACTGTTGTTACACTTTCAGAAATATAACAAATTGAACATTACATGGTTATTTTAAAGTATTTACCGAAGCATTTTTAATAGAACAAAAATTGTCTTTATGTGCAAAACATAATCTCTCCTTAAAAAAACAGCTTTTGAGTCGAATATAAAAAATGTCTCGTAAAGAAACAAAACCTTCAAACTAACACTCTCTACAGTAACCTATTAAATGGGATCCATGCTTATTTTTGCCACTTCCAACTGTCAGAGGTATTCAAAGCAATATTTAGTCTTTTGTAAGGAACAAAAACACAGTTTATGAGCAAAATAAACAGACCTCGCCGTTGGTGATGTAGTCAAACGCTGAAGAGTTTGCAGGCGTCTCGCACTCTTCTTCTCCTTCCTTTGGATGTAACTCCAGAAAATTCAGAGCAACTGAAATTGAATCTCCAGATTCATAAAAAAAAATAAAAAAAATGAAGTTTTGTTCTGCCTCAAACTTGGCGCTAAGTTTAAATTTTTTATTTTTAAAGAGCTGCAGTTTTGCATGCGTGTTGGCCATGGTGGACCTGAGCCCGCCTCCTGTAACAAGATAACTGCAGATACAGGAGCGGATAGTTTATCCACTTCTATTAAGCCAGAGCTGGAGACAGCACTTCAGTTCAGTTTGTAGAGGTCATATATGATAGAACACATTTTGAAAGGATATATTGTTTTTCTCCATCATAAATATCTGGTGTTTTAACAGGAACATATAGAATTTCTACATCTGCTGTGGCTGAAAGTATAATGGTTTCTCTAACTATCTGTGTGCTTCTGTGCTCCTTTTCTTTTTTTAAAGGTGGAAGTGGAGAAGAAGTGGATTGAGACAGACTCACAGAGACAAGCTGGTTGTATGACGCAGTGATTTCAAAAACAGCTAAAGACTACACTTCCTCTGCCTCAACATATTTTCCAAGTCGTCCTAATGAGGGAAAGGGTTGACAGAAAAAGCAGGAGGGAACGAGGAGGCTTTGTGGTTTTGACCGATTCATCTAATTCTAAAGAAACCGGTTGTATTTTTCATGACGATTAACACATTCTGCATCCTTAACCCTGAGACTGAAGCCTAGCACTTTACATAGATTTTACAATAGATTTATTATTGTAAGAGTCAAGCCTATACTACTGTGTGTATATAAAAGCTTGTGTTTGCATCCTCTCTGCACTGCTCTCCAGAACAGCCATAATAAGGTCACAGTTAACAAATTCTGTTACATAATCTGCCAAAATTATCACCTTTTTCATATAAACCAATAATAATATAATTTCATATAAAAGCAATAATACACTTAATTTTGGGTCATCCTATTTCTTTAATAATTCTGTCAGATGGGTTTAAGAATCATTCCTTTTAATTTGTTCTCATTTATTTTCTGTTATAAGGAGCATACATCCATTTAGTGAAAAAAGGGCTTTTTGAATTAGTCTTAATAGAATGGTTGTACATGAACTCATGTCTTAACTGTTACAGTATAAAACTCTTCATTAAGGGCCAAAAGTGCCACAATTTGATTCACAGAGTTAAATATATGTTTTGACAAATAAATCTGATTAAAAAATGGAAAGATATATTAAATAAATAAAAATGATAGATAATATTTCCAAGGCAGGGTAACTTGTTTAGTTGGTGTGGCGAAAGCTGCTATAGGGAAGCCAGTTGGTCAGTTGAGTTATCAGGATGCATTCAAAGATCTACAGTAAGATAGTAAATTCCTGATGGGCTGTTTCACAGGAATAATGTTATATTTACATTATTTGTCAGTAAATGTTTTTTATTTATTTAATGTATCCATTATGATTTGATAGGAATTAGGCCTGATTTACTATTTGAATGTGGCAATTTTGGCTCTCTATACTAATCAGCATCTTTTAACATGGTCTTTATTAATCTAACATCAGTTAATACAGAACTGACCCGACTTCAGACGAAGGCTGCATTGTGGACGACTGAAATTTTATTTAAACAAATCAAATCTTTATTTTTAGGTCTTGGTGTGCCTCTTGGCTGGGAAAAACGGTTGTAATAAAGGAACTTAATAGAATTGGTGAGGGGCATTTTTTTATGTAAAAGGTACATGAATTAAGTTGGATATTATGTGCATCAGGAATAAAAAGTGAATTAAACCTGAATGACTCTGAGTAGTTATTTACATACGTTTATAAAAATAATATTTTATTTATTACCTTTTACATCCATTAAACTTTGGAGCAATTTAAAGTTTAAATCTTTTTGACACAGAAAGAAGAAAAGTTGCTTTAATGAGATGTACTTCTGACTGTGATTGTACCTTTTGATAACAGGATGAGACATCCAGTACTGACGCTGCGCAGCTGAACAGATTATATGTAACTCTCCAGTAATGATTGTCTGAAGTGCTGCATGGTGTGAAGTTAAGTGGCTGGCAGGAACGGGAGAGTAAGTATCTGAGCCCGAGTTAAATCCGCCCGCGGGGAAGGTGGGGGACTGGATGTGCGTGGTTAAGAAGCTGCACACAGATCGCAGTTTCGCCAGATTACCGCCGTTTTATAATGTCCGTTTCAGCTTTCGCTTTGGCTCTTGTGGCCATGACTCATTCCTGGCTGCAGCTTCAACTTGCAGGAACTCATCCAGTTCTTCCCTTTGTGAAAAAGAATGTCCTTAAACATTTAGGTTTTGGATTTTTTACCCATTCATCATTTTCAGCTACAGTACTTGGCAAAAGCATTGAACTTTTTGACATGTCTCCTCCCAACCAGAAACTTTGTTGTGTTTTATTGGGTAGTGGATCAACACAAAGCAGAGTACAACTTAAATATTGGAAGAAGACATTTTTTTATTTTTTATTTTTTACTTCAAGGTTGATGGGCTTATGCTGTCAGCCACACAGAGGTGATACATGGAATAACATTTATCTGCAGTTAGAGCAGCAAATACTTTTGGGTGGGGCACTCTGCTTCTCACAGTCTAGCTATAAGAGGCAGATATATATTCTTTTAAATTTGAGAATTTTTTTGTTATTAAAACCTTAACATTGTAGTTCTGACTGTGTATTTCAGGCTGTTATGTGAAAAATGAACCTCAACTTTCAAAGCAGGACTGTCCCTGTTAAAAAAAAAAAAGGATACTGCCACCACAGGGGTTAATGACAACCTATGCACCTTCTTCCACCTAATTTTTGTTTCTTCTGACTTTTATTTAAAGTGATTTATCCTTTTGCCGATAAATAAAAACTGAAAACACATATCGATCTTAATTCTATTTAAATGTCCAAATAACTTCTATCTCCAAGATATGTTTTCATGAAATAAACATGTAATGGTTATGATAATGCTGTGTAGGTGAAGAACAAGAATCTTCACTTTTCTATATTTGAAGCCAAACCTAAGTGCAAACCTCAGAGCAGCTCTGCAGCACAGTAACAGCTACAGTAAACTGCTCTATGTAGAGACTTTTTTTCATGTTGTTGCTGCTTTCAGCTGCAGCACTTTCACCCTAAGCAAAGAAAATGTCAACCTCCATGCCTGAAAGTGCCAAAATCTGCAAGCAGCCAGCTCCAAGGAAGCAAAGGTCATGGATGCTTCTGCTATGCATCTATTCAACATAAAGTTTTAAAAGGATGTGTTTTGCAAAAAAGGGATGAATGTTTAAACTGACAGCACTGGGCACTCAAGGTTCTGAAATTGCACTGAGCTTGCAGTGATACGACAGATGAAGTTCACCATGGTTTTTCATTTGAAAATGCCCCAAGAAATTGGTCAATTAAATAACTCATCTGCTAAAGATGGATAATACCATGGAATATAATGCATGTATTCTTGGTGGTTCTAGTTTAAGTAGTAAAAATAGACAAAAACTAAGATTTAGAAACATTGCTTAAAGATCCAGAATATGAGTAATGAAGTATGATGATCCCCATCAAAGGATAAATAACTTCAGAGCTTCATAATCCATATGATGATAGACACTAACTTGCTGGTGTGCTCAGAGTTATAAGAGCTTAGATGACCCACTTCCTGGCTAATGTAATATTTCCAAATACTCTTCTTTCAAAGCATCATCTTTTTTAAGATGATAACTTCGTGTCACAATAAAGGATTTAATGACTAAAGATGCAGATGACTACTTGCAGTTTTTTTTATCTGCTGCAGAAGTGTTTGTTTCTACAGTCAAACCTGTGAATGATTTCCATCATTCTGTAAATAGCTGCTTTAAAAAAAAATCTTTGAAAATTTCTCATGTTTTCCTGAACTTTTGTTTTTAATCAGAAGTTGCGCGGTAATTTTTCCGTTCTGCAGTGTGATTTTCTTCTCTGTTGTGAAGTTTAGTTTTAAAATTATATTGTTGTTATTTAATCTTTGGTGTTCCTACTACTTGTATTGCCACTGCCACAATATAATTTGGCCACAGTGGGACAATAAAGCTATTTCTGTTTCTATGAAAAGCAGCAGTCCCTTCTGCAGCAAACCAGCACAACAAAATAATGCTGCCCTCGTGGTATTCACAGTTGGCCTGATTCTTCTTCTTTTTTTCAGGCTTGCAAGCTTCACTCCTTTCTCTTCAAATATAATGATGGTCGTTATGGTCAAACACCTTCATTTCGGAGTCTTCTGATTGCAGGTTATTTCTCCAAAATGTTTCATTTGTACATGAGTGGATTTGAGAACTGGCTATTTTTTTTTAAAGTTTTGTGGTACTGGTGGGCTTTATTGGAAAGCAAACAGACAGGAAGGGGGTGAAGACATTAAGCAAACCTGAGAAATCTGCATTGAGGACTAAAGCCTCTATGTAAGGGTTTCCTGCTCTACCATTGTGCTGCTGCTGCTGCACCGTTATCTTTTTGGAGGGATAATTTTATCCTCCCTATGCAGCCTTTCAACACCTTCAGGAATCATTTCACTGTGGATAGTGATACTCTGTTACCAGCTTTAATTCTTTACTTCTTTTTATTTCTGGGCTCAATACATTTCATGCCAAATATCCTGCCTAATTCTTGACCGATCCCTTTGGATTTTTTTGTTTTTCGTCACAAAAGTTGTTGCATTCATGCTGATTTTGCAGGCTTTCTACCTTAGTCAGTTAAATAACATGCTGCTGTCATTATGCATATCTCTGATGTTGCTGCTGTTTTCAAATATCCATTACTGTGAAATGTCCATAGCTGTATATTGGTTATTTATTCTCCAGGTGCACAGTTTTATATTGTTAAAACACTTTACAGTACAGTATTTTATTTATATGTATCTTTTAAGTCTTCACTACTATTTTATTCTTATACATTTTTCTAAAATCCACATTTGTGTGACCATTTTTCTTTTAATCTTTTTGCTGCTGTAAACACCAGAATTTCCCCATTGTTGGACAATAAAAGGATTTTCTATTCTAAGAAAGCAGGCTAAGGTACGGTATGCCTCCACTTAACAGCTTAGCCTTTTTGTTTACAGTTGTTTCAATATATTAAAATAAATACTTTTTTTTGTTTAGAAACTGATTTCTAAAAAGAAATATAATTAAAGTTGTTTTAATTAATCTAAAGCATTAATATTTAAGTCTAATTTCATATCAAACAGCGAGGAAAAAATTGAATGTGTCCTTTTCTGATGACTCCTCATCACATCTTCAGCTCTTTCTAAACCACACTTCATAATAGGCATGAAACCAGACACTGCTGGAGCCGTCCTTCTTTCACAAAGACAGAAAGGCTTCACCCGATTCCATTCCTCATTTCTCCAAAACCTCCTTCCACATCTTTATGTATTTGTCCTGCACAAGACAATGTTGTCTGTAGACTTCACTGTACCCGGAGTCCTGTCTGACCTCGTCTGTAAACCTGCTTTGTGTATCACCACTGTAAACAAAAAAGGGCTACGAGCTCTTATATTTTTAGTTTAACAAGCCCCGGTGGAACATTAAAAATATGCCATACAGCAGATGTTCTTAGCCCTTCAGTAACTAAGCAGTAAGGAGAAAAACATAAATTTAAACATAAACAAGGAAAAAAAATAAAATAACCTTGCAGAGAGGAAAATTTGTAACTCCTCGTTAATAGTTAGATGAACAATTAACTTACACTCGCGTCATATTGTAAAAAAAAAAACAAAGAATTTTTAAGAATGAAATGAAAATATCTCCAAAACATTTGCAGAACACATTTTAGCCACCCTGCAAAAGCACAGATATAATTCATTCTATTCACCCCCCAATATAAACACAGTTCAGGAATACATGTTATGCACATAATGGAATGAGATCATATTTTCTATGATTTGCTCACTCCTTGTAGTTCTCCTCCCAAGCAGAAGAAGTTGTTACAGGGATAAATAATACTCATCCACTGCATTAACTTTACATCTGAACATGTTAGAAGATTTAAAAACAGAATAAAGCAAAACAAAAAATGTTGTGCATCTTATTCCTGACATCCCTGAAGAATACAAAACAAAAATAATATGATTTTTAATTGCTTAGTATCAGGGTCTATCAGCCCAGGGTCTTAATCGGGTCCCGCCCCTTTGGACTGGATCTTGATGATTGCTGTCAGCTGTGTGCATCCTCAGGAGCAGGTGGAGGGTTATCAGCTTAGATCACCCGTATCAGGCCTTTAGTGTCAAAGTTATATCTGCGCAGTCTAATTTAAAAGATGCTGACCAACTCAGGCCCAGTGGTGAGCAAAGTCACTTTTAAAAAGCCAATATGATGTCTTTTTATCATCAGAAGTATGAAAGCTGCAGCAGCACTCTATTATCTCTGTTATGCATAAATATTTCTGCAGGCCAAACTCTATCTGTCCATCATTGATGATGTGATTGAAAGTATGAAGGAGCTGTTTTTGGATGAAGGGCTGGAGGACAGAGTGCTGGATGATTTAAGGCATGTAAGTAATGCAGTAAACTGAAGTTTTCAGGTGCAGTAAAGTTAGGCCACCTAGCGGTGACCTATTGCTGTCTCTGCTGTGCAGCTTTGGGAGACTAAAGTGATGCAGTCCAAAGCAATGGAAGACTTTAGGAAGAACAACATCAATTCCTCTGACTTTGTTCTCCAGCTGCCTGCCAACTACCCACGGGCTGATCAGAACCAGGAACCTCCAGGTACTGAGCTCCAGCTTGTTCTGTCTCTCACATTAGTCTTTTAGTTAAATGCTGAGGTTTTATTTTTCACTGCAAAGAATATCAAACAATCTCTTTTATGATTTGCATAAAAGAAAATATTTCCTCTTTTTTTTTTTCTTTTTTTGGTGCATCACGTGTTTTTCTTTTCTATTTCCAGCCCCTGTTATGATCCCACCCAGTCAGGGCATCCATAGTTTACCTGTCAAGGTAAGTTTATTCAAGACTGTCAGTAGCATTACTTTACACAGCACCCACCTTTCTCGAGCTTGGAGGTTACTTTGCATGAATGTTTCCAACATTGTTTGGACCTTTTTATAAGAAAATGTGTCTGGAAGGTTCTCTATGGAAACTAATGGATAAAAAAAAGTCAGTTTATATCTTTGATAACATAAGTAAAGTTTTTCAAATTCACAAATGGATTTTAAAGATATTCTAATCTCAGGAGTTTTACTTGCCATGATGTTTGAGCATTATTAAGTTGCTTCAGCTGTGTGGGTTTGTTATGTAATTGCTTTTTCTTGATAATTTTTTTTTTTAAGTGCTTTGGGGAAAATTATGTTAATTCATTTCATTGTTGAATTATTTTATTCCCCATTTCTTAGTTGCCCTGCAGCTTCCTTTTCAGCAACATTTTAAAGTTTGTTGATTTGGCTTAAATTTTAATGCCAGCAAAATTCCTGCATCTTCCGTTAAAAGCAACAATCATCTTTTAAAGTAAGATTAAGCCATCTCCTCTCTTCCTCACTATCAATTTCCTATGAGCTAATGGGCTCATTATAATAATTTAAGATCAGTTTTTATTTATTTTTTGGCTGCATTTGGGGGCTGCAGGACACAGTGCGTGACGATTTAAGACATGAAAGTAACACGGTGAAGAATCCTCATTCTTCATTGCATCATAGAAGCAAGGCCAGGTTATTTATAAAGAACATTTCAAACATTCAAAGTGCTACCCTTGAGAAAACGTACATTGCACAGGCAAAGAGGAAACAAATACATTTAACAGAATAATAGGTATTAGTAAGATTGTATAAAAACAAAGGATTGATATTTATTTTTTCTTAAAGCCTGTTAATCAGCTGTTAATGGAAATCAGCTGTGCTGAAACTGAAATCTCTAAAACCTGCAGGACAGCAGCCTTTGAGGACAGACTTTTGACATTCTTATGCTACAGTAGGGTGATTTGCTAATTGAAATAAGACACCAGTATTGCTAATAAAGGAACAAAGATCCACATGCCTTTTTCAGTTGTAAGCTAAATCTCCAAAGTCTCTTATGGACCCTGGAATCCAGATTTTTACCACCTTCATCTTTTCAAAACTCTCTTTTCTCACTTCTGACTTTAACATTTCTCTAAGGACCCTTTTCTTCCAAGAAATAACCTTTACTTTAATTGGAGTAACTGAATCAATGATATCCAATATCTTAGAATAAATGTTATCTGACAGTTAATCTACAGAGTTAAAGGCCAAAGTAAAGAAGCAAAGGAGTAAATCTGCTGCTGGTTAAATGTTTAAGTAGTACCCTTTTAAATATGGTGATACTTAAACAAATTATGTCTGATTTTTATTTTTTTTTAAAAGTTTGCTTTCACAAATGATAAAATGGTCAAGTAGGGCAAGATCCGTTAGACACTTTGGAAATCTATTCTAATCCAAAATGCCACCATAAAAATGAAACGTGTAAAGCTTTGAAAAGGGAAAGTAATTATATAAATCAAATGAAATGGATTTGTGGGATTTGAAAAATGCCTATGCATTTGAATTTTTTTTTTTAAATTCTTTTAATGTAATGTTAAACCAGTAGGGATAGGAAAATGAATGGCATGTTAAGCTTAACTAATTATTTAAGTTTCTTAAAATATGATTTATATGCTTATATAGCATTTTATGTTTGTCTTTGTACTCGAGTCTTTTGTTTAGTTACTTATATATACATGTATATATTTGTCAGTATGTCGAAGTATAGCCTTTTCTTCTAAAATGCTTCTTTACAACAGTTCAAATGACTTAATCAAATGTATCTATTTTTTTTTTTAACTACACTGAGAGGCAAACATATATATTTTTTTTTTTATAGCTACCACTTATGTGAATATACACTTATTGCTGTATGGTTTCTGCTGTAAATCTAAAGGAAAAATAATTTTCCTCCATTACTGTAACACTAACATGCTTAACTCTACCTTCTGAAAAACTGCATATGGACACCTTTTGAATAGTGTAAGGATTTTTGTTGTTCTTATAGAATGCCTAATTTATATATATTTTTTTAATGATGCATCCTATTTCCTTTTTGACCAGACCAATACCCAAACTCTTGCTACTTTTTCCCTCCCTGCTTCACTGGCGTACCCTGTGCAGATACCAGCAGGCGTCACTCTACAGACAGCCTCTGGTATTTAACTGCTTTAATCTTTATGACTTTCTTGTTCAAGGATTTTAAATCAGCACTTGCTGTTTGAGTAAAATGTCTTCCTCCTTTTTCCTGAAGGTCAGCTTTACAAAGTCAATGTGCCTGTTGTAGTTACTCAAGCTCCAGTGGGACACCAGCCTGTGTCCAATGTCTCCCAGAAAGTTCCAGAACGGAGTGAAATGCCAGCCCCTCAGCCAGTAGCAGTTGCACAGAATCCTGTCCTGCTTCAGGAGCCTGAGCCGCCCTCTGCTCCTCCTTCCTTTGTCGCACAAACGAGGACGGGTCTAACTCTGATCCAGGGGAACACCCTTCCTCAGCAACCTCCAGAAGCAGAACTTGCACTGGGAGAAAATGAGGCAAATTCCCAACCTGAACCAGTAAACTTTTGTCCTTCTCCCTGCACCCAGTTATTGGACTACCAGATTTCTGCAGAGGAATCTGCTTTAGCACAAAAGACACAGATTGGAGACATTGATGAAATCCTAAAGGAAGTAATTGAAGAGGAGAGGGAGAAAGTTGAGAGGGCAAGGAAACTAGCTGCTGGAAACCAGTCTGGTGCTGATCTTGGGGTAATTAAACATTTCCCTTCTTACACCACAAATATATTTTCAACCACTTCCATTGTAATCATGAACTTAATAAAGCACTTAAACTTCAACTTAACTTATGCACTACTTTGAGGCTGCACCACATAAATTGTTTACAATTCCATGTCTTCCAAAGCTGGACTTGGACTACACCTACAGCCAGCTGTCGGATATTGTTCAGCTGGATGGTGCTGCAGACAACTCTGACCCAGAGGAGGATGAGGACCTTCCTCTGGAAGAGAATGACTTCCTGGGTTTAATCAATGCAGAAGCCATCAGAGCTCTGAAGGAGGAAAACGGCAGTGACAGCAACAGCATCTCCTCCAGCAGTGACGATGGAGTAGTGGATGAACTCGTTAATGCAGAGGAGGAGGAGGAGGAAGAGGTAAGGGTGACCTGTAACCCTTATCTACGTGTGCTTTTCACTGGTGATATGCAGGTGGGAAAATATTTGCCTTGGAGCTCTCTTCAGGATGCTGTTTTTGTTTTCTTCTAATTAATGATGCAAAAAACACAAACTTGAATTGCTGTGTAATTATCATAATTTCACATTTGACTTGAATTTTGACTGCAAACCTTAACAAAAAACTGATCAGACTTATTTGTACCTCCCTGTTTTGACCTAGTCTGCTTTCAAAGTAGCCTTCGATTTTTTGCAAAACCCACATGGCTTGGGCTTGGGATGCTACAAAGAGGTCACCAAGGCAGATATGGACACAAAGCCCTTTAAATCATGATTTTTAAAACGCAACAGATTAAGGAATAAGATCTTAAGTATTGCATTGGCTGTGTCCTTTGTAGACTAAGGGATATAAATAACTTTTTCTCATCTGCATTTAAAAATTAAACCCCTTCATGCTTTTAGACAGGTTTTATATGAACAAATTCTTTCTTCTTCAGGTGATATTGAATTTGGTGTTTGTGGTTAGCGGCAGTTGATTAAGGATGGGCATTGTTTTAATACTTTTTTCTCTCGCACATTTTATAATCATCCAAATTTTATCTCTTAGTAACTTTGGGTTTATTCATTTAATCTGTGACAAGCAAAAACTTTGGAAATATCAGATCAAATACTTTAGAGTATTTTATGTTCTGCAGGCAACTCTTGTACATTATCTCTTTTTTTCCCTAATGTTTAGGACCCTCTTAATTCTGGTGACGATGTTGTCGAACAAGACATACCGGATCTCTTTGACACGGATAACGTGATCGTCTGCCAGTATGACAAAGTAAGAACTTCCATGCTCTTTGAACTCTTGCCTTTGAACAAAGTTTAGCTTTGATTTTTTTGCAACATTTCCTCGTATTGCAGATTCACCGCAGCAAAAATCGCTGGAAGTTTCATCTGAAAGATGGAGTGATGAGTTATGGAGGAAGGGACTATGTGTTCTCTAAAGCTATTGGAGAAGCAGAGTGGTAATGAGGTTAAAATCTGCTGAGCAGATCATTGTACATGAATAAAGGCGATGAAAAGGAGGGTTGAAGCGATGCACATTCTGGAATGGGAAAAAGTTTAGAGAAGCTTATTGAGACAAATCAGTTAGTCTTTGTTTTTTTTTTGTTTTTTTTTATTAAAGCAAAGCTGAAAGGTAAAAAAAAAAATCTAATTAAGTTGGTTAATCTTGCTCCAGTTCACTGAGAGAAATTAAATGGATTTATGTTGTATTTGCTGAAAATAATTTTATTAAAAGAAGATATTTTCTCTTGTTCTGTACGATTTCTCCTGTTTTTACTTATATAGTGTTCTAAATTCAATAACATGCCTTGGGAGGGGTGTATTTATTGGCCTAATTACAACGAACCTAGTTAAAACCTTTGTTTAAAGGTAAGCCACACAGATATTGAACCATATCAGACCCCTAGGTTCAAAAAGGAGTTAAAAAAAAAAAAATCAGAATACCCCTTGTTTTATCAAATGGACCAAGAACCTTTGCAGCACTTTGTTTCCACCTCCTGCCAAGTGCTGTGGTAATGTCACTTTTTATTTAGCAGGCACCTGCTGAATGGAGGAAGCTCTGACCAGGTATGGCTTGTGTATATGATACAGTACTTGGGCATACTTTTCTGTAGGCTAACATAATTTTTAAGGATAATTTCTAATAAGTTGGAAAAACTGGATTTTAACGTTATTATTCACTTTAGCTTACGATCATAAAAATGAATAAAATCTTGATATGCAATTTTGTGTAAAGGGGTTTTTCTTTTTGAAACTACTAAAGCGCCCCTTTAGAGGTCTAAAATGCTGCTTTTACAAAACTATTTACCAATTCAATTCATAGCTGGGAAGAAAGACATGCAGCTTTGAAAATTTGATAGCTAAATATTTTTAAGTCTTGCCATATGCAGAATACTATTGTTGCAGAGGAATTATTCAAATTAAACAAAAACAAATGTTTAGTGGCCTCTGTGTAGACGATATTGTTGATGGCAAAAAACAGGTCAATTGAACAGAGCTTTTAGTGCTCTAAGAAATAGAGTTGAGCTATACTGTGAAATGGAATTTTATAAGCAACATTGAAAAGGTGCTAAATTCTGAGGAAAAGAGATCTGCTGGAGTATACATTATTAAAATGGAAGCATTAGTTTTTGTTACCAAATTGTCATTTGTTTAACTGTGACCTTTTGGCAAAGTGACTGTGCAACTACTAAGTTTCCTTGGTTATTGTGGAGAAAAGACAAAGGACTAAAGTAAATTAACACAACTTTTATTTGTTAAATAAAACAAAATCACATTTTTTTTTTTTTTGATAATGACTGCAGTCTCCAAAATGTCTCGAGTGCAAACAAAACTTGACATGGTACTAAAAATGATCTTTGAATAACATTTAAGACTTTTACATTTTTGTATTCTACACAAATTTAACTATTGATTTAATCAAGATCAAGGAATTTACAGTGGATCTTTAAGACATACACACCCCTAAGGAAATACCAGGTGTTTCACCACAGATGACTGACCAAATGAGGAAACACCATGTGAAATTGCAACACTAAGATTTAACTTAACAATTCACCTTTCAAGGGGAATGGTTAGTCAAGAGTTACTGACATTTCAACAAACATTGGGGAGACAGGCTTTTTCCATAGGCTCATGGAAAAAGCTGAGCTTGCCATATTTTCAGGACTGGCTTTTATTTACAGTATATGTATAAAATGTGGTACTAATACTGATTGTATCTTTCTTGTATTGTCCATTTTGTTTTGAACCTGCTTTTTTGTTTATACTTTTTTTTTGGTTAGTCATTTGAAAAGTAAACATTTTAAAAACATTATTACTGTTAATTTGGTGCAAATTTATCAAAATAAATTATTGCATTGAATTTTAGGACGTCCAAGCTACCCTTTGGTTTTCACATTGGATAAAAAAAAAAAACAGCTTGCATGTTCAATAGCCCAACTCTTTAGTCCAGAAATGTGAAATGCAATAATTTGAAAATTTCTGCAGCCCCTCCTGTTTAAAACCTACCTTCTTGTCAGCCTTCTAAACCCATTTATTTTTATGCTTTCACTAGTGGGGAATGGTCAAATATTAGCCATAGTGTATAAAAAATATTTTATTTTTACTTTTTTGTAGGCCAAAGATGCTTTAAAAGCTAAGAGTAATATGGTTGACTCACTAAGATACTGGAAATATGTTTCATTGTCAAATTAGCAGATATTGGCCTGATGTTACTTTTTCAATAAATTGCAACTTAGGTGACTATTCTTTAAAACAAAAAATATATAAAATTTGCAGGAAAATCATTAACTGAAGGCTATGTTATGAACCTGAAGCACAAAAAAGCTTTAAAACTTTTCCAAATTTATTGCAGGTCAGACAATTATTGCATCAAGGTCCACAATGATCAATTAAGCAGACCTTAAATAAAAGTATTCAAACAGTTGGGTTGATTTAATCTTTTAAATATGCTTCCCCCAAACTGATTTGGTTGTCTTTTAAGGTTAACTGTATATGTATCACATTCAGAGTGGAAAAATAGGCAGTGTGTTAACTTTTGAGATCCACTTTAAATGTCTCATTGAACAGTTACAATATTGCAGCCATGCTTTGATCATCCTTAAATAAAATTTTTGTTTCCACCTATTTGGTTCTTTGTACAATACCTACAGTATACAGGAAAAACAGGATCCAACACTTTATTTACCTTCAGTTCCCTCGGTTTAAATGGAGAAAAAAAATCCTCAGTTTTCAAAATAAACCGGATGAGATTTATACTCGTTTGCAGTGCATAACACTGGCTAACAGTCCACCTTAATAATGAAATGCTGCAAAGTAAGCAAGCAGATGTTGCCTCTGAGTTTCTAATCTGCACGCTGACCATCATGTCGCTCCCTTGCTTAAGAAGCAGCCCTTCATCTTAATGTGATGAGCATAAAAGCTCAGTGAGTGAGGTTTTCTGTTGGTCACTTTGTTAGTGCAGGTGTGCTGTGATGCCAGAGTCTGTGATCTGTAGAAATTGAAGTTGGCATCGCAGCAGCCACAGCGGCTCAGCAGCCGGCACACGTCCTTTCTGAAGGCGCGTGTGAAGATGGTGTACAAGAAAGGGTTGCACAGGGAGTTGATGGGATAAAAAAGGATTAGCAGGATTTTCGAGTGGGACACAGTTATGAGGGGCATACGCAGGGCGGCTGAGATGGCAAAGAAGGAAATTGGTGCCATGCACAGGAAATCCGTGAAAATTAGCACTGCCATGCGCTTGGCAATCTTCGTGTCGCCGTGTCGAGTAGAATGCTCCGGTTTGTGGACACTGAGATATATGCATATATAGCAGAAGCAGACAACCAGGAACGCCACCACATTGAGGATAAGCACAACCATCACATAAATCTGAGAGCCAATGGTGTCAATGTCCATTGGTAGGCAGATGCTCACTTTGCTGTAACTGCTTACTCCAACCAGAGGAAGCAAAGCAATGAGGAGAGAGAAGCCCCAGCCTGCCACCATCATGGCTGCCACATGATGCAGCCGCAATCTCTTGTTGATGTGCATGGCGTTCGTAATGGTGTGCCAGCGTTCAAGGCTGATGATGGTCAGAGTGTACACTGACAGCTCGCTGGCAAACACGGTCAAAAACCCAGCTGTGCTGCATCCAGGCCCCGTCTGCCAGCTGGTAGCGTGATTGTAGTACTCATGACGGGAGTTGAAGTCCATGAAAGCAATTAGCATCAGATAAAGCCCCATGCACAGGTCTGCAAAGGCCAGGTTACACATGAGAAATCTTGAGATGGTCAGCTTGTGGTGGCTTATAAGCAGGATGACCAAGACAGCGAGGTTCCCGGCCACAGCAAAGACCGTAATTAGCCAGGTAAGACAGCGCAGGAAGGGAAAACCCAGCAGGTCCTCACAGGGGTTAAAAGCATCAGGCTTTGGTGAGCACTTTACAAATGGGCTGCTGTGGCAAACAAATTCAAGGTCTTGGTATTGAAAGTTTAAGTCGATGTCAAGATTCACACCATCATCAGTGGGCTCCCTAAAGAATGCACAAAGAATATGTTTTTTTTTATCTTAAACATCAAGAAGCTAATCAGATACAGTTAAGAGAAGCAAAATAGAGACTCAGTGTCAGCAGCTAACTTTCTACTGATTACTAAATATGGTGTTTTCATATTTAGCAAGTAATACACATCATTATCAGAAACAAAACTATAGCTGGTGCCTTTTTGTTATTCAAGAACCATTTCTCCCTTCATGGACTGATAACGTTTCTAATTCATCTAACTTTTGGGGTAGTTGTAGCAGCCCTTAAAGGTGTTAATTTACAGTCACAAACTTCACTGTATTTCACTGGGAAATCCAATTAAAGAACCACCTTCCAGCATTCCATTAAATGTGCAATGCCTGGAACACTGCTTTAAATACTATCCCTGCGCTACACTTCCACACCAAAACCATTTCCAATGTGTTTCTCTGTCTTTATACTGTTTGTTCACAAATGTTTTCTTACTAACCTCTGAGACCTTCATCGTATAGCTTTGGGTACACCAATATTAAATAATTGTACTTGTTGCTGGTTTATCATGAAATTAAAAGGAAATAAGTTGAAGTTTGTGGGTGTAAAGTTACAAAAAAAAAAATATTGGTATTTAAAAAATAATTAAAGCAAGTGCATGATAAAATACTGGGTCGTTGGTTACTTACATTCCTAATTTGCTGAGATCACAAAACTTTGTAAAGTTCCTTAAAGCACTTTCCCTTTAAAGTAAAAGAAAATAGTGAAAAGGTTAATTTGCAAGAATTTGTCAATAAACTGGACTGCTAATTACAGGCCGGCTGATGATTTGTATTCAGAGGACAGAGCTAGGTTTGCTTATGTAGATTTAAATAGATTTCTCAGAGTGCTGGTCCTTTACCTTTGTTTCCTTCTCCATGTGTGGAAGGCACAGCAGTGGCTCGGGTAAGTGAGCTCGGCCTCCAGCAGCTCGGCGAAACCTTCTAATGGTGGAAGGCTCTTTAGAGCAAAAGCAGAGGTGGCTTTTAGAGATCGCACTTGACCTAAACCTTTGCTTGGAAGGGAGCAAAGAACTGTGGATGAAACATCCCTGAAACACACAGAACACACACAGAGGATTGGGGAAAAACTGACAATAACGATACTTTGCATTATGTGCAATGTTAAGGTTAAAGTGTTGGACTTGAAAAGCCAGTCATCAAGAGAGGTAAGACATCTGTATACAAAGGAAGTGTTCTTCTTTGCTTCTTTATTTGAATGAAATATATTCAGGGTCATCAAAGTTAAGCATAAAAATGAGAAAACAAGCAAATGCAAAGAAAAAAAATGCTTAGAAATTCAAGAAACTTAAAATCATAAGAGATTTTACAAAGTTTGCACTAATCAGAAGCCTTTTTATGTGGGTGAGTGCCTAACACTTTCATAATCAGTGTTTTCTTGTCTAGGCTGTTTGTTTACAGAGACACACTGTGAAATGGCAATAATGCTTCTGGCTATAGTCCAAATATATTCAACCAAATCAGACTGACTTAATCAGAATTTTAAGCATATGTTAAAGCAAAAATACCTATTTATTTCAAAGTGTCTGTTTAATGATTTAAATTCCCATTTCAAACTTTTCATTTGAAAAATATCTTAATAAACTGCTTAATTTAGATATATATGTATATAGGAAAATTATAGTTATTGTGATTTGAAACAAACAATGAACTTTGATGTATGAAACTTTATATTGAATGAAAGTTGTAAATTTTGAATGGATGTTAAATATAAACTGTAACTCGGAAAATATCCAATAGAATTTTTTTTTTATATATTCAATTAAACTTTAAAAAATTTGGTATAAAAGTAGGAGTGGCCTAAAAGGATTATGGGTAACAAGAAAGGGTGAGTACAGAGCTTGGTAACTGAGAAAGGGAATAAAACGTATACAGTTTCAACACAAAATACTAATTTGTTCCCACAAGATACAAACCTGTGGCTATGAAACGTACTGTATGATGTGCACAAAAAAATACTATTTCATTTCCAAAAGTTTTTAGTAGTGGGCACACCATATAGGCCCCATGATATACCAAAACATACTCCAATATACTTCTTAGTTAGAGCGAAAAAAAAAAAAAAAAGCAATGCAATGGACAGGGAATGTCTGAGTTTATTTTAGGCTAGGATGAGCTGCAAACATATTCTATAAAGCCAGTCAATTGAAAGGAACTCTCATTAGAGAGATGCATATAAATAGAATAGGCAGAGCCAGGTGTGGAGACCAGATGTATAGAAGAATGCAGGACTCTTCATACTTAGTCTCAAAACATTTTACTTCAAAGGAATCCAGTTTATGCATATGTGGTGACTAGCATATATCAAGTGCAAAGGCGTGACTTAAAATGTCATGCCTACCTAATATCAATGTAGTATTCAGTCTAAATGTTCTCCTTTTTACTCTCATTTAAATTATTAATGTCAAAAACAGCAATATTAATAATCATAATTCAACAATATAATTTATAAAACATTCGTTAGAAATCCTGCTTTTCTGTTATAAAATTAGGAAGACGATGACAGACAGTTTGTACTATTCCCACTGCATTTATTTCTCAACACTATATCAAAGGTCTTCAAAAACATTTTATCCTGAAGAAACATTAAACCTTTATAATCTGAATACGTTTGCTCACTGTGAAAGAGAATCCACTTTATTAAAGCAATTTTAAATGTCATAACATATGTTCTGTATCCTCAACGGCACTGCTGCTGTAAATATGTTGCATACGTCCTTGTAGCAATAGTTCAGCGCTTTTTTTTAACCTTACTGGTGAGAAGACATCTTTGACCATCTATGCACAATCTCTCCAGCTCATCCAAGTTCTGGATCTTCTCTTTTGTCCTTGAGTCTTCAGCTCATTCAAACTGTTTTATGCAGGATTTATGTTTGAAGACTGAGTATATAAGGAAAGATTATTTTGTTTAAATATTTAGAATAGAAAATCCCTTTCCCTAAAGTGTATCTGTATGTTTGCCCACATGTTTGAAAGAAGTCAGTCATAGGCACATATACAATTATGTACTACCTTTGGGACTAAAGAGTATACATCTGTTATGAAATATTAGTTGTTTCTTTTGTTAGCTGTTTTATTCCAATCTGAAAGAAGACACTTGCCTTTAGTGCAATCCTGGTGTTGGTGCTGCTCATTTTATGATGTCACCCTACAGAAGTGTTAAGCTCTTATTTAGCAAAGTTGAACAGTCAGAGACCTCTTGCAGCCAATAAACACAATTTTACAACCTAAAACAGTAAAAAAAAAACAGTCGGTGTCACTGTAGAGATTACGAGGAGTGAAAAGGATCACTTCATCTAATCTTTGGGCAGAAATAGTCACACTGTGCCTCACATTATTGAATGCTGATTGGAGAAAGTGGGCATGTTGTTTACGTTGTTCTTCAATGCCAATGGAGATTTTTCAGAACAGGATAGGGCTGCTGGTCAGGGAGCAGTATTTATAAGGATTACTTAGACATTCATGGATCCAGTGACATGCAACGTTAGGCATGATGAAGGGAAAGCATTGTACTGTAATAAAAGCACAAAAAACTTTCACAGTACTTTCATCTTTTTTTTTCAAACCCATCTAAAGTGTATTTAAAGGCACACTATGCAACATTTTTCAGTTAATTAATGTGTTCCATAACGTTATGGATGATTAA